TGTAGGAGAAGGGATGCGGCGTGACCATACCCCCCAGGGGGTGATTTCTCGCTTTCTGTCTGTCTGTCTCTGTCTGGCCTGCACATGTGCCCTATAGCAAAAACCTCTAAAAAAATAAGTAACCTTGTTTCTTGTGTTGATAAAAGATAGTGTACTTACCCAATCAATGCCCTGTAGCTTTTCCTGAAGGCACCCCAGTTCTGATCTATTAGTTACTATATCTATCCCGTCAGCTTATATTGGAGTTCCTTGGTTGGCTTTGAGGAGGTAGATTCCTCTCCTTCACTAGGAGCCATCTAATTTTTTTTTTTGCTATAGGGTGCATGCACTCACCAGAAAGACAGAGAAAGAGACAGAGAGACAGAAAGTGAGAAATCATCCCCCACCCCGAGGTGGGGGGAATGGTCACATCGCAATCCCTTCTCCTCCATTCTCCTCTCCAGATCTTGGGCACACAGGCACATGCGCCTGGCCTGAGTTTAAACCACCGGGTCTGGGACTCGAACAGCGGTTGACTACATGGGAGTCCAGCGACATAGCCATTATGCCATCTGCTTGTTCTGTCATCTACTTTTTGTAAATAAAAGACTTAGCAATTTAAATGGGACTTGGATGGCACTCATACCATCATTTATATATTTAAGTATAGCACTAATCCTTGTCATGCCACATCTACCCCAGATTATGATATTGTTCTTGATTTACTGTCTTTTCAAGGAGTGGGGTTAGGGAGGTTTTGTTTTTACTTTTGAGAGGTGATTTTTTTTTTTTTGCTATAGGATGTGTGTGCTTGCTAGAGAGACAAAGAGGGACAGAGATACAAAAAGTGAGAAATCACCTCCTGGGGGATGGCCACACTGCAATCCCTCCTCCATTCTCTTCTCAAGGTTTTTTTTTTTTAATTATTATTATTTCCTCTCAGGTTTTTGGGCATATATACACGTGACCTGGCAGCATGAGATTTAAGCCACCGGGTCTGGGACTCCAACCACAGTTGACTATGTGGCAGTCCAGCGATGTAACTGTTATGCCATTTGCTAGTCCTGAGGACATTTTAACGACATACTTTGGGACCTTGCCACAGGCCGAGGAACTAACATTGTGTTTCTGCCAACAACCAGTTATGTCTGTTCTGATTATATGTGACTATACACCTGGGCACCATGAGAATGTGCACCAGATGGAACATGAGCTTACTAGGCTAACAGCGAGCAACCTGGACTTGGACTGGGACTTTATTGGTTTTATCTGGTCTCCATGAGTCCTGAATACAAGGCCATGGTGATGCCAGGGTATTCATCACTACTGCCATCCTGGTGAATTCTTATCAATTTCATGTTCCAGAACTTAGATCCATAGACCTCAGCACCTGCAAGATTTAGACCCAAACATCCTCTCATAGCTTCTAGCTACTATAGTTTCTATGGTACAAAGTCTATCCACCCATGGCAGGATCAGCTCTTACCTAATGAGTTAGGCTATAACGCAACCGTCATTATTTGTCTGGTAGCCAGAAGAGGAGGTGAACATTGATCTTGAATAACCTGCAAATTAAATTGCAAGATATTGTTTTCAAACCAATGGGAGGCACTAGTCTACAACAGAGAGGAAAGAGTTATTTCCATAGGTCCAATGAGTTTGGGAGACTGAATTTCAAGTTTATTGCCCGTATCATTCCAAATATCTTGATTCCACATTTCACTCCCTTCCAATCAAGGTTCTGACTTGGGTGGAACACACCAAGGCAGAAGTTAAATTTGTAATCTATATGTAGGAAAAAATGTTTGATAAAATTCAACATGTTTTAATGATTATAGCTCTTAACAAAACTAGATAAAGAAGGAATTTACCTCAAGACAAAAAAAAGCCATAAATGACAAGCCCATAGCTATTAATAACATCATACTTAATGAACTCAAACTGAAATACTGAAATCAAAAGCTTTTTCTCTAAGATTAGAAATAAGATAACGATGCCCACTCTCACTACTTTTATTCAAAGAACTACTGTAAGTCCTAGCCAGAGCAGTTAGTCAAGAAAATGATATAAAAAGCATATATATATTTAAAGATGTAAAATGACCTGTGTGCAGATGAAATTTCTCTTTATGTTAACATATTACAGGCATTATTATGTGATGTTACCTTTTTTTTTTCTGGAGAGGTTTTCGCTATAGGACGCGTGCGCTCGCCAGACGGACAGAGAGAGACAAAGAGAGAAAAAGCGAGAAATCACCCCCCAGGAGGGATGGCCACGCCGCAATCCCTTCTCCTCCATTCTCCTCTCAGGATCTTGGGCATGCACGCACATGCGCCCGGCGTGAGTTTTGAGCCACCAGGTCTGGGATGTGAACCCTGGTCGACTACGTGGGAGTCCAGTGACATAGCCAGTACGCTAACTGCTGGTCCCGTGATGTTATCTTAACCTATTAAATAATTGTACTCAAATATAATAACTGAGAAATTATGAAAAATTCTGTTAATAATAGAATTAATAGTATAACATTGTGAAGAAGGAAAGATGAGATGGGAAAAAATATATCGGATGATTTGAAGAAACAAGTAAGAGTATCTTTTTTTCTTGTTTACTCATCAGTACGTATTAATTGTGCGCTTGCTCTGGGGCGGGCACAGTGCTGGGAAGGCTCTGATGTACCAGAATGAGCATTATAAACACGGTCACTGTTCTAAATGATCTTTTGGTTTTTCTTTCTTTCTCCGATCTAAATATTTATTTACTTATTTTACAAATAATTTCATTAATATTATTTTTGAATTAAAAATCATGTCTGTATACATTTACAAGCTATAAAGCGATGATCTGATATATGTATAAAACTTGGAATGAGTACTTCTTAAAAACTTCGAGATTTATAGCTAACATGTGCCATCTAGTGGTGTGAAAAGAAACTTCAATGCAAAATTCAAGGTGTCAACTATTGAAGCACAAACACCCCGCAACTGCAGCTTTTTGCATTGTGGATTTAGACAAATTGCTTCAAGCAATGCTCAGTTCTTTTCTCTCCCCCTTGTTACACCTGCCCCATCTTTCTTTCCATCTCTTCCTCCCTTCTAAATGATATTGTCTGTATAGCATAGGTTTTAGATATTTCTTCTTTTCTATATTGCTTGAAATTTAAAAAACAAGAATGCACTCTAATAAAACTTTTTGAAAGTAACTCATGTTAATTAAGGAAACTCTGGAAAATATTAAAAAGTATAAAAGAAAAAGAGAAAAAAGAAGCCTCAAATGTATATTTAAAGGCATTTATTTACTTTCTTCATGAGAGGGAAATGGAAAGAAAGACACAGGCATTGCAGCAGGGTCTTCCAGCTCGCGATCCTGCCCCGAGCCTGACAAGCGGCCATGATCACACATGCATCCGTGGGCACACCAGGGGTGCAGACGCAGACTCGAACCCAGAGCCTTCTCACAGGGTCTCTATTGCCGCGAGGTAGCATCTTACTGCCTGTGGCATCACAGCTAGACCAGATCACAAATTCTTGACGACATAGTCTCCCATTCTTACTGTGCAACACTTTCAATTTATTCTTGTGAATCTTTACATATGTCACTCTTAAGGAAAGTTCTATTAAATTGAATTTTCATTATTTTCTTTCTCTAGACCTCTTACAAAGAACTTCTTATGCACAAAATATTGTAAGAAAGTCAAAATTATGTTTCATTAAATAATGATGTGACCTAAACTATGAATTACATACCTCCTTAAATTGCAAGTTTCTCAAACCAGATCTCTTGTCCTTTGACTAAGAATATAGATAGTCATTAAGCGGTGATATGCAAAAGCAACTCATGGATGCATCATTGACAACAACAACAAAAATAATAGTAACAACCTAAACATTCAACATTACATCTATTAGTGGAATACTTCCTAGCTATATAGTGGCATTCAGCATCTCCAAACACTCTAAAAACATATGAAGATTTTATGAAAAAGAAATCTTTTTTTTAAAATTCATTATAGAGCATGTTAACATCTGAGAAAGAAAGAACACCCTCCACAAAGCTTGGTCACACCATGATACTCTTCCTCCGGTCTCCAGCCTGCCAGGATGTAGGCATTAACAGACATGCCTGGCGTGTTTTCAAATTGATCCAGTAGGGACTCAAACTGCAGTTAGCATGCGGCTTCCAGCTCTGCAGTCCAATATGCCACTGAATGCATCATAGAAGCTGGGCCAAGAAATAGTCATTTTCTTTTTTTGGAGGGGTGTGGGGAACACATGTCACATGTATTCACTAAAGAGACTTGGGGGTGGGAGGGTGTTGAAAGCACTTGCCATGGGGTATGGTCATGCTTCAATTCCTTCTCCATCTCTCCCCTCCATTGTGATTTTGGGCACGTGTGCCCACATACCTGAAATTTTTTTTAAGTCACCAGGTCCAAAATGCTAAATGCATACTCAGTCATGTGAGAATGTGAGATCCAGACCAAACGACTGACTGACTCAGGAAACAGTAATTTTATTTATTTATTTATTTATTTATTTATTT